CTAAACTACATATATTTCGTTTTAAGTGACTGAGCATATGGTTGATGCTGCATGATGGATGCCACTGCTCTAAAAATGCTGACCTGAGTGAGTAGTGGGAATAATGCAAAGGGCCCAGAGGTGAGAGGTAAAGTAATATATAGGTGGGTTATCAGATCTCCCTATATGTGTGTGTTGTTCTAACATGCTGTTTCTGATAAGCAAGCAGGAAAGGGACACAGTGTGTTCTGGGACACAGCCTCAGTCACGCACTAGGAAGAGAGGATGAACAGATAGCTCTGAGGGACCTGAATCATGGATCCAAAGTGATGCAAATCGCATTTTGCCAGAGCAGGGAGCCTGGAGATAAAACAAACTCCAGTCGGTTTCTCAGGAGTGAAAAAGGAAGATTGGTGCCAGAAGCTGTCAGGAGGAACAGGCTGACACGGGGAGAGACTCTGAGAAGGGAGGCTAAAAGAGATAGATCTTTCCTCAGATTTAGAGATCCTTATGAAAAACAGACTGGCATATGATCTCTTTCATTGTTACAAGACTTCCTTTTAAACCTCTTGTTCTAAATAAAAAAAACCCCTTTCTTTGAAGAAGCAGTTTGATCACCACCATTGCTTCCCCACAGAAGGAAACTGTGAGGAACTCTCTTACATACTCTGTTTGCAATTCAGAGGCTTTTCCATTGCTGCTAAATCCAGCCACAGCAGCTATAATCTGTTTTGTTCCAAATACGATTGCAGTGTCTGAGGCAGAGAGAAGGGGACAGGAGAACACAAAGAGGAAGCAGTGGAGCCACAGGGGGTGAGAGCTGCAAAATTCTAACTGTAAATGCAGTTGGCAGAAAGATGTCCATCTGCATTGCCATACAGAAGAGCTGCCTAACTCTACCATATGCTTCCTCTGATGGCTGTGATTAGTTACACAACTGTTCTGGGTCTCTGCATTCCTTTTTGTTTTGTTTATTGTGCTTTCTCTTCCCTACTCTTTTCTATTGTTAGACTCGCTGGCATGCTATAGAGGGGTAGAAATGAGGAAAACGTGCTGGAATCAGATGCACAGCATGAGCCTATCTTGAGGCTCTGCCTCTTCACTTGGATATTGAAGAGCCTGGGGACAGCCACAGGGGTGCTGCAGAGTGGTCTTCCCAAAGAGAAGTGGCCTCCTTTACTAGACAAGAGGTTTTTATAGTGAATGAGGTCAGTTTTCATTAAGCTGCCTCACAGCAGGGCAAATCATAATTTTAAATACACTTAAAATGGAAGTACATTTTAAATACATCCTGGCAATACGGTACGAATCAAGCCTCTTATGGTTGAGAACTGCTCAGATGAACATGTAAGGTGTTAGCTGAGGAGTAAGCTAGTTGGGTTCAGTGCTGCTTGTGAAGACTATGTAATTTATGCTGTTTTCTGTGCTGATTTACAACAAAATGTCCTCATTGCTATCTCCTCTGTCCATGGGACAGAAAAGGAATAGAAGTACAGCACCCTGATCCCTGTTCTCCCTTTCAGTCTTTCTGAGGTTTTGTTTTTCCCTAAAAATCACAGCCTGTTCTCCAGAAGAGGTGAACTGAACAGAAACGGATCCCCTTCCTTCCCAAAAGGCTTCCAGTAGGAGCCCTAGAAACGCAGCTGTCTATTTGCATGACTGATTTCTTCCGTCCTTGCCCAGCAATTTGTTTACTTCTTCCTAGATTTCTTTTCTCTCCTCATAATTTCCAATAACAAAATTTTCTTCTTGGCTGTGCCCTCTTTGAGTCTCCTCTTTACATCATCACAATTGAGTTTCATGGCAGACTTTATAATCTCATGGGCACCAGAGCTTCCTGCCAAGGTTTATGCAGATTTAAAGCCTGGATTAATCTGGCCTGGTATTTATAAAATGTTCTAAAGATATGAAGTGCTGTAAAAGCACTGTATATTTTTGCAGAATTCGCAGAAGTCCCCCCCTTTCCAACCTGGCACATACTAAGCTCCTGTCCCAGGAGATGAGTTGCAGGGACAGGAATCACCAAATCCATGTCTCATCTTCTGAGATTGTATCTCTCTTCCTTTCTTTCTTTCTTGTTCTCACTCTCTTTTTTTCTTCCCCTCATCCTTCCAGGATTTCTGGAAGAAGCTGAATAGAAAGGAGGAGACCCCCTTCAAAGCTTTTGCCTCCTAAGAGCATTGCTTTTACAGACTTTGGCATCATCTCCCTGCTTGCCGCTGCTGCTGCACTGCCCAGTTCCCTCATGCAGTTTTGTAAGCACTTTTGAAAGCTGGCAGCCTCTTCAGAAACCTTTTGGGGGGGAAAAAAAAGCCAAAAATAAAAAATCTTAATGCAGGGGGAAGCTGCTTTCAAGCTCTTGTCTGCAGCTGGCATGGAGTGCCGGGGGAGGCAGCCTCCAAATGCAGGCCGCCCTGGCCCCTTGGTAAGGATTGCTCGCACAACTCATAGAAATTCAGGCCCAACCTAGCCCAATCACCTTGCTTCTCAGTGCAAAGAGGTGTTTCCAAGTTTTCTTACTGAAACAGCAGATGGAGGAGGTGACTGGTGATTTCAGGCATCATCCTTCCCTTTCATGGTCACTAGCAAAGAAGCAAAGCTTTGATCAAGTAAGATGTGTGTGTGAGGGTGTTTGGAGCATATTTTGTTTCTTTATGTAACTTTAAAATATTTTAAACTCGTCAGACTCAAAACTTGCTCAGGACTCATTTCCATGCTTGGGAGTGCAGCTCTCTAAAATGGAGTCCATAAACTTCCCCAGCTGTTCAGAAAGCCTTGGGGGTTCATTTATTTTCCCTTCCCTCCCCCCATTATTTGATAGTTCTTTTAAGAGTTGCAAGTTTTACTTGGTTTCTTTTCATCAGAAGGGGAAGGTACTGCAGGAACTGAGGCGCTGCGGTGGCTCTGGCTTTGAACTCACCAGGTCTAAAAGCCTGCAAGAACATTTTCCCTTTCAGCTTTCTAGCCAGCTCGTACTGCTGCTGATAAAGGCACAGGGTAAATCGTCCTGAAGGACACTGAGAAAGCTACAGTCTGAAACTCGCAAAGGAATTGAGATTATATATATAGTTTATATATATAGTTTAAAATTTAAGTGTTAAACTCTTTTAAAAAAATTCAAATACTCTTGTCCTTTTTGTTGTTGAAAAAAGTTTATTTTCCATTCATTGCAGCTGGCTGGGGCTCTGCGTCCCTGCAAATGCTGCGGCTCCATCTAGCGGAGCTCTAGCTGCTTGTCACAGTGGAGGCAAGTATTTTAGAAATGCTAATAGTGAAGAAAAATAGTTGGAGTTAAAAATCTGTATTTGCAGAAAAATTCTTTAGGATCTCCTTTCAGATACTGCTGCTAAAGCCTATTTGCACATTGGCTGGAAGGAAATGATATTTAAATGGTATAAGGAAGAGAACTTACTGTATGAATCCAGTCTGTTTCTCTGTAGTATTTTCTTGCCTATATAGTTATAGACTTATAGATATATTCCTCTTTCTAAAGCTTTTTCTAAAATGTAGTAGGTATAAAAATTGCATATGTGTATGCATATATATATAATATATATGTATATGTATATATACACGTATATATAACCATATGGCCCTCATGATGGTAGCTTTCATCTAAATCTCTTAAAACACTTGGCAAACAGACAGTAAGCGTCAAAACATCCAAATCTGCTTCATCCATCCTGTTATCCACCCATCCTGTTATCCACCCATCCAGCCAGCACATACAGCAGTTGTACGCCTGTTTATATACACAGCAGACCTTATTCTGCTCTCATTTTCATTTAAGCCTAATTTATTTTAGTGCAGTTTCTCTCAACTCTCACTGGTCTGACATGAAAATTAGTGTCTTGTGTATCTGTATATACAGCAAATATATACTCACAAAGTGTGATGAACATATGCTGTAATGTGATCTTAATGTAAACAGGTTGGTTCTTTGGGGCTCTCACCTCATCCAGATGGGAGCTGACAGTCAGTATTTTACACCATTACAACTGTGTTTAGTTTTTCAACACATCTTGCCCACGCCTTTGATCTGAACAGAAAATAAACATTCTTGTCTTGATTTGCTCAGCTGCCGTCTGAGCCACAAAACCTTTCTAGATTTCAGCTTACGTCCTGAGCTGGACTCCCATGCTGCTTGTACAAATCTGTTGAATTCAATAGATGTATTTAGCCTTATTAAGATGCAGGAAAGCAAATATTATCCTCCAGTGATGCAGCAGATAACAAGAGTTAATAACAAGAATGTGCTAAAGATCACAGGATTCCCTGTAAACAAGATGCTGCATTGCACAGAGAGCATCTTGTCTGCATATGTTTCATAAGTAACTAGGCATCCTCTTGGGCTTCTTTAGTTATTTTAGAAAGTTGTGTAAACAGTATTATCTACTTAATGCCCCAAATGATATAATAATTGATATGGAAATGGGGCAAAGCTCAATAGATTGTAGTACGGCTCTCCATGGACTCTTGGAGATTATCTACCCAGATTTTATTTAAATTTTCTTCTATCTGGTGAGCATGCAGCCTGTGGTTTGTTAGGCATGCTAGGCAGATGTTTGCTGGGCAATAATTTCTTTTTTGACTTTTTCAAGGAAGATTTTGAATGTGAAAATGGTTTTGGATTGTTATCCAATGTGATCTGATGCACAGTGTGATGTTTATCTCAGCTGAAGGTTGAACAAAGTGGATAAAAATAGATTACTAATATTTAGGGTACTCTATAGTGTTGGTGTAATTCTCCTTGTTTAAAATACAGGAGCAAGGGAAAGAAGTAGCAGAGTTCTAAGAGGAATTGCTTAAAAATGGAAAAAATGTATTTGAAAATATTTTTCTGTTCCATCTTGTGGAAAATGATATTGAAACCTGGGGATTTTTTTTAACATGTTCTAAAAGCTCTAACGCTGTACTTTCTCTTTTGTCATTTGTGTAAAATAGCAGATAAAAATATTTTTCCTATTCAGCCACTTATAACTTCTTTGGGTGTTTTAGTTGACTCTTTTCTTCTTCAATAGATGCCACATGCAGTTCTCCCAGGTATCTGAAAAAAGGGAAAAATGAACCTCTGTTGGATTTGACCTTGCAAGATGAATTTAAAGACATGCACCCATAACAAGGCTCTTGTTTTGTGGATCTGTGAAGCTGCTGATGCTTAACACTTTCTCCAGACAGGTAATGTCATCTCCAGACCACTGTGCTAGAGAAGGCTGCTCCTGTTATTTGCACCCCAAGTTTCACAGCTGTGAAGTGGGGAAATGGCTCTGATGTTGCTTATAAGGAACTTTGGAATGTAAGGGTAAAATGCTAGTAAAATATAGCTTTATAAAGAGGGCAAAGCAACGTTATCAATATTTTAATTTAAATCTGAGGAATTGTTAGGCTTATCAAGGTCATTCATTAGGCCTGTGACATTGCCCAGGGCACAACCTTGTCTCCAAGCTTTCTGTGCACTGAATCAAACTGCCTGCCAGGTACAGAGACTGGGTGACAAATGTTCATAATGTGAGCAGCAGCAGCACCAGCAACTGCTCATTTTCATGTATTTGACTGAGTTAATGAAAATCTTTGTAAAAAGCACACATTGTTTGGGAGGAACAGGGTTTTTCCCACAAAAGGAATTAAGTGGCTTTAATCACTTGGATATTGTGTACCAATGCAAAGCAGAAGTGAAATGGCTGAGAGGAAGCAGGAACTACCTGCTCACTCCATTTCATGCTATATTTGCACATTTGTGGTAATGGCAAAGTTTCCTTCTTCCAAAGGGGCTTCCCTGGTGCTGCACCACGCACCACTGCTGGCCTGTGCTGAGCCACCAGCCCCGTGCAGAGCAACCGGCTGCTCAGGAGCTGTTGGAGAAGCAAGAGTTGAGGGAGAGGACAACAGATTAGCAGGGAGGTTTGAAGAAAAGATTAAACTTCTGTGAGCCTTTCTTAAAGCAGCAGGTACCTTCTTGAGCAGGGCTCAAGAGCAAGGATGCCCATTCTGAGGAACGCCAAGGAGCTGGGGCTGAATAGTTGCTGCAGATACAGCGTTGAAAGGGCTCACCTGCAAAGGCGTTTGAGTATCCAACACAGCTAAGACAAGACGTATAACAAGGAGAGGCAGCAAAAGGAACAATGTTTTTCATTTTTTCACCACAAGTTGCTGTGGAGATGGAGCAGGGGCATGGCCATATACCCTTTGGTGTATTACACCAAGGGGTATTACAACATGGCCTTAACTCCCATCTGCCTGACTCTGGGATGCAAGCTGCAGACATGCTTCCTGCTTCACTGCTTTGTTACCCATTCATTCATGATCCTCTAATGAGATGTTACCTTTGATCAGATGTAATTGTCCTGCAGCATGCTATGTTGTGGGAAGATTAATCCTCAAGGCTTTTAACTAAATACTCTTATTTCTCTGACTTTTGGTATAACTAGAAAAAATAATAATGCATGTCAAATAGCAAATAAATAATCCACATACTTAGAATTTAATGTCTAGCTGTTAAATACTACTTAAAATATTAACCTTCCATTCTAGACCCTTCTATTATTTTGTATTCTTTCCAAGACGTCCTTCTTGTAACATCACACAGCAAGGTTTTTAAGGCTGAGTGCATTTTCAATTAGCTGATTCCTTTATGTGTCTGTGAGATAAATTAATATAGTTATTTTTAATTTATAGATGAAGTCTTAGCAGTGAATGCAGTGCTCGTACCTGGAGGACAGGCCTGGAAATACCCAGCGGACCATGATCAGCAGAGACTAATGGCCCATGTAAGCATGTCCTTGTTAGTTATAGTATTTTATGGGTGTTAATTTATAGGATTATTAAAACACTGGAATGGGAGAGATAATAGAGTGGAGAATTCCAGGCAACAGGTAAACACCATTTTCCAGCAGTTAGGAAGCTTTCCCAGAAGTACTAGGTCCCATACAGCCACAGTTTTCATATCCATGAATGAGGTCTATGGAAGAATCAACAATATTGTGGCAATGCCTGCAAGATGGTATCTCCACCCTGTGTGCCAAGGTGTGAACCTAAGGCAACACTCCATTTACAGAAACCTCCAAAGGGCAGCGGAGAAGCACATGCTTTGCACAGGCTGTCTGTTAACCATGTGTCTCACAGCTTGATAATCGGAATTAAATACTACCCTTATATTAACCAGATGTTCCCCTCCACAGCATCCTTCTGTGGTTCCTTTTCATAATGTATATATTACATGTGGTATGAATTTTCTAATCGGGTCAGAGCTGTGTTTAAAAATCACCCCAAACAAGAATGTGGCTTCAATACAAGCCATGAAACCGTACCAGCTTCAAAAAGGAAATGAAGTGTACTCCCTCATCTCCACTGCAACCATCATCACTTGTATTTTTTGCTCCTACCAAAGTTGACTGTAAATGTTGCCTGCAAACCCTCCCTTTAGACCAGCTGCATTCCGTGGGAACAGGAACAACCTCATCATTTTAAGAAATGGCAAAGTGCTCCTTAATGGTGCTTCAGCCAGAGGAGTAAAAATTGTACTGTGTTTCTGAAGAAACATTCTTTAGATTACATGACCTGGAAAAATACTTCTGTTCTTGAAAGGAAATAATTTCCACACAAGCAAGCCAAACCTGTCATTCTGCAGATACTTAAGTATTTTATTCATTAGATTTTGCTGTTCTGACAATACACATGACATGGGCTATGTTTACAAAAACTATCAAAAAAAGGCTAATCACAAAGATTTTTTTTGTTACCAATTTTTTTCCAAAACTTTTGATAAGCTTAGGTGTGGCTTCTGTCTATAGGGCAAATACAATATTGTCCAACATAAATGTTAGTGTCCCATTTAGATATCGAAGATATTTTCTTTAAGTTTTACTAAGTATAAAGTTCTGTTATGCAAACACGTGATTTTCAGTTCTTCCTCTGTCAGGACTTGTGTTCAGGATGAGGAGCTGATGGCTTTATTCCTTAATGAAAGCCAAATCCTTTCTTGGGTTCACTGCACATACTCCCGAACTGCAAGTTCTTTCAGGGTAAAAATTTTTACTGGGTGTTTTTTTGCCTTCAGTTCTTCCAGTTTCTCTTGCAATGCCAGAAAATCCTTGCCGAGTTCGTATGCCAAAGCGATCATCGTTTCCAACAAGGGGATGTAATACCTGTGACTGGTGTGCACACGAAGACGTAGCAGAGCCTCCTCTCCATACTCAAAGGCACTCGCTGGGTTTTCCAGGTCCTTGTGACACACCACGATGGCACACAGAGTGGGCACAACCGACACAGGGTTGCCTCTCATTAGCCGTTCCTGCAGACCGATGACTTCTAACAGAATTTCCAAAGCTTTGGTGTACTGGCCACCCCGCAGGCAACCGTATGCTTCCTCAAGCTCTGGCCTTGTTAAAAAGTCAATAAATTTTTTTGATCTTCGGATATATCTCATAGAATATAGAAGTCTCAGGTAGTCCTTAAAGGCTAATTTCCTCTCATTGATTATTTCTTCTGTGAAGTTCCCAGTCAGAGTTTTTTTGGGGAAGGTCACGTCTTCCATTTCTTCACTGAAGTCCTCCAGAAGTTTTCTGTGCAATTTCTCAAAGTCTGAATAGCGCCGTTCAATTATAGATTTGTTGCAGTCAAAACTTCCTGTTTGCAGAATGATGATTTTATACATCTAGCACAACAAAACAGAAGAAGAAGCATCAGAATGACCATTCTAGCCTCAGTGCAGCTGGTGTTTATAACTGCTCCTGAAAGTCTTAGTGCTTGCATATTCTGCTGCTGAGACCTTCCTGCGCCAATCTTACACAAGTTGTCTGCTACACTCCTAAGGTTTGTGGTGCTGCTTCTGCACAAACTGCAGATTAGGAGTTTGATTTATTTTCAGTGTAGGATAGACCTTTGAAAACTGGATATCAAACATAGAATTCCCATCTCCTCCTGCAAGGTGCTAGATGGTGACCTAGCAAAGACTGAAGCACACAGAGCATTTCTGTACCTGCACTTGGTTTATAACGGCCATGGCTGCTGCAGTCAATGATCTTCAGTGAACAGAATAGATTTCCTAGATTTAATATTGAGTATAGTGTATTTTATATTAGTTGTAAGACTCAGAAATGCTTTTTTATCAGATATGTCTCTGGATTTAGTGGTAGTATTAATGCTGTGAAAGAAGAGGGAATAGTTGGCAGGAATATTCAGCACATGCAAAAATTAGATGGAAAGACTCCAAGGACTTTTTTTTTTCCATCTAAATCATTGTCCTGCTCCTCGAGCTTACTTGGCATGTAATTAATGCAAAAAAAAGTGACAGTTCTAAAGAAAATCTGTGCTTGCTGTCCAAAATCCTTCACTAGCAGTTAGCAGCAATGTTCTCCCAATTTAAGAGTAAGCTTTCCTCAGCTCTTCACTGGCCTTAGAAGGGAAGAGACTGTAATAAGTGCAATGTTAGAAAAAAAATAGCAAAATAAAACTGAGTGCTATGTGTTGTAAAATTGATTCCCGCTTGGTCCTGACCCAAGAAGAGTAATGCTGAGGAATTTGCCAGGCCAAACGCTTCATGTACCTAAACCAGTGAAGTTGCACTGAGGCCGTCTTAGCTGCGTCATTGTTCACCAGCTAAGGACATGGACTTAGGGACCTTGGTGGCTTCTGGATGGTGACGATGTTCACGGTCAGCTTCACTGTGTTCTTACGGAATTAAACAGGCCCTGGAGCAGGCTCATTTATGGCATCTGTTCTTGCTGGTATTGGAACATGTGAACCAGAGCTAGCACAGGTATATTTCTGGTTTTCTGAGTTTTTTTTTTTTTTTTTTTAGTTTTAATCTTCATAAACCATCTCCTTTAGAAATGTGTATGTCTGAGCTGACTTCACTGACTGCTTTTTGTTTGCAAATGCTATGACATTTTCCTCTATTTTGCCCCACTCTGCTGAAAAGTGTATCCAAAGAATCTCATGTAGTGATCACCAATCACCACCACTTTTGTGTTAGGCATTTAACTTGTGACAAAGCTTAGCTACTGCACAGTACAAATAATATCCTCATCCTTATACAGTTTTTTTAATAAAATAAATTTAATTTATTCAATGGCTATTTAGTGCATGTGAGAATAGCAGCATCTAATTATGTGTGTATAATATTCAGCAAGATGCTAGGACAGTCTCTGAAATGTTTACTTGCCTCAAATCCTACTGAGTTTAGGTGCCCAGTATGAGCGATGCAAATACAATTTTTAGCAGGTTTCATCTGCAAATCTCAAAGACTTTGCAAAGGAGGAAATCATCCTTACCTGAATTTCACCAAAAGGAGTACAGAAACAGAGAGACATTGGGTAACTTTCCCTAGATGAATCCTCTAGAAGGCCAGGAGCACAAACAGCTAAAACCAACAAGTCTCAGTACTGTGAGAAAACATAGAAATCCAATCTATTCCATTGTTCCTGTCCCTCATGTTTATTTATGTTTATGTTTGACTGTAAAAAATCTGATAGAAATATGCCATCCAATGGAAGCCAAGGTAGGGATGAGGAACCATCCTGAGGGAGATCTAGCTTAGACTTTGTCTACATCAAAGCATTTTGCACTTGTGCGAAATCTTTGCCCACAGAAGCTGTACAAACACAATGCAGCTGTTATACCAGCCTAGCTCAGAACAAATATAATGATATTGATATTTTTATATCTATGGGTTTTTTAATGTTGACAAATCTCCTGGTGTTAAGAACATTAGAGATGCTATTTTAGTGGATATCACTTTTCTACCGGTGCAGCTTTTAGAAACTGGCTGTCAATGTATTTTCTGGGGGGAAGTTTCTACCAGTTATGCCCTTTGAACTTGCCTCACTCTGAGAATAGGTTCTACTCTATATAATCTAGGCTTGCAAAACTTGTCCTTTGGTGAGACTTTCATGTAGTGAGCCATGCTGTGCAGATCCCTGTAGAGAGAAATAAAAATTAATGATCTTCTTACATATTCATTTCTAACTTACCACATATTTAGATAAGTGGTGCTCTACAATTCTGGTTGATGGGATTTCAAAAACAAGACTGACTTGTCTGCACTGGCACTTTTCTTTCTTCCAGTATTCCTGAAGCTCCTTAGTGGTCATTGAAGAATGGGAACCTTGGGATGTATTGGAATCTAAAAACAATATATTTAATATTCCAGATTGCAACCTTTGCCTTTGGAAAGAAAACTCTTACACGTTTATTGTGAAAGCAAAGCCTAGATTTCTAACAGCAACACCTTGAAACTGCTAAGTCATTCCAGTACGAATAAACACAGGTCCAGATTCCCTAATTGAGACGCTAAACTGACTGCAGAATATAAACTTACTTATGTGATGGCAACTGCCTAAAGTAGGAAAAAATACTGTCAAGAGGTATCATCCATCTAGACTGTAACCTCAGGCACAGCCTGAACAAAAATTAAGCTTCACCACCCCAGATGTAGCCCTAGGAAAGCCCGGATCAGTCCTGTGAATTAGACATTTCTCCGGGCTTCTTTGTTGGTGAGAGCAGGAGATAATGCAGTGCAGCTGCAAATTCAGACACATGTTAAAATCCTGACCTGATTCAAATGCTGGGACTGTGCAGTAAAGAGGTGAATGCTGAGACATATCCTAACCTTAAAGGAGAAACTCAGATGAACAGCAGAGCTAAGGGGAAATTCTCACTTCCTCTTTTCTTTCAAAGCTGAGCTGGTGCCACAGTGATGCTTATTTGTATACCTCTCTGCACACCCACATATACGTATGTATATATAGATATATACAAAATGGAGGACAACAGATTGAAGAGTTTGCTTATAGGAGAATTTGGTGTAGTTTTCCACAAGGCTGTTTCCTCTTTGAAATCTAGTGATAACAGTTTTTATCAGGTGGCCTATAGGAAAGCAAAATGAATAATATGAATGGAATATTTGCATTTCAGTGGGCACATCAGTCTCCATTTGCTAAAATGATGTTTCTGCCAGTGTAGTTAGCTGAAGTCATTGTCTGCAACATATTTAACATTCAGACAGTGGAAGTGAATATTGGAAATGAATGGGAAGATAACTGCTTGATACAGAAATAGAACTGTAAAGGCATTGTAAAATACTTTTGGTGTCCTCACTGCGTTCTGGCTCTATCTCTGCAAAGCATCTATTGCTCAAGTGATGTGCTCTTTAAACAGCTTTGCAAGGGATTTTCTTGAAAAAATTGTATGTGTTATGGATTATGTTTAATATTTTTTAATAATAGATATGAGCAGTTTTAGGCATAGTAGAAGTTCAGTGTAGCTTCTCCCCAAGGCATATGATAGACTGAGCTTAGTTTCAATGTAGTTCTTGGTGTCCTTGCTACTGCTGTTCAAAATTCAGATTTTGTGATGTACAGAAAGTGTGTTCCCAAGGAAGGCCATCTCTAGGCCACTGTTTTGTTCCTGGTGTGCAAGTCTGGAGCACATTATAGGATCAAGGATTTAAAAGTGAAACTCTATATATGCGTATACGAGCATGTGCACCTGTTTTACCATTGCTACATTATTATTACAGGTTCAGTGGAGCAATAGCAGTATAAATCTGCAGAAAATAAAGCAAAAGTTTTTATGTAAAAGGCCAACAACATCCATAGCTACATGAGAAATAGAGTCAAAAAATAGCATCAACCTTGAAGAACATCTTTTCCTGTTTTTTCTTTGCTCACTTGACATGAAATTTCAGCATTGGGTTGATTTTGTTTTTCCTCAGATGGAGCTGTGGCACAGAAGGGAGTAATCCTGCTTCCAGCTTCCAAGAGCTCTCTGCCTGCTGTGTCATATGAGTCTTGGTCCATTGCAAAGGTATCACTGAAAGATTACAATAAGTATGACATTTCTTAGTAGCAGGCCTTTAGAGGAGCCAGGCTGGTAATTTTCTTTTTTGTTGATTTGCTCATTGATTTCAGGTCATCTATTTATTTTATAAATACTAGAGTAATACATAGAAATACACTCATAACTATTAGTGAAGAGCCATTACTCTTCAAGAGTAAAAAGCAAGCAAAGGAAGAGAAAGACACTGCTCACAATTCAGTCAACAAGGGAGAAAAATAAACTAAATAACTAAAAAATAGTTCAAAATGTTCCCTTTGAATATACAATATAATACACATTTTATTTATGTATAAAAACTGCTTAAGAACATAATTTAACACAGAATTACAACATGACTGTAAATAGGCTGCAGAAGTTTTGCAAGTATCAAGATAAAGTTTCATTTTCACATCTAACAGTCATTGTAAACTATTTTAGCCAAGTTACTGATTATTTCTACACTTGAAAATAAATCCAGAATACAAAGAAACCTGCACCAGATTATGTAGTTATATTTTGAAGAGACATTTGGTCCATTCTTTTTCATGGTAAATTCCCCTCAAGCTGCTTCACTGAGTTATAAGTAACATCAGAAACTGTAGTCAATAAATACACACCTGGAAGCTTCGGAAGGGCTGTTAGTTGTGGAGCATTTGGAGTCTGGACAGGCTCAGAGAAGGCTTGCTTTTCATTTTCAAACTGCAGAAAAGGATGTCTGTGTTTTCTTGTAAGAGGCACATTCTGTGTTTTACAAAAAGGAAGGAAGAAGTCTCGATTAAATCAGACTTCCTCATCCAATTGGCTGAGCGCTTCAGCGGTGCCTGATTGCGCAGGAGATTTCCTACGTGCTGGGAACGGTCCTTGTGCTGTCCCCAGGCGGGACATGGCCTCGTGTCAGCAACACAGGCACGAAACAGGCTGGGGAAGGAGGGCAGCCGTAATTACAGAATCAGTGAAAACTTCTCCACGTGCGTGTCAGAAACCAAGCAGATTCAATTGGCAAAGGAGGGAGGGGAAAAAAAAAATCAAATATGTAAATTCATTTATTGGAAAAGTAGACCATGTAGGACATCTTCAAAATACAGACTTCTCATGCAGTTCAGGAAAAAAAAAATGCAAATAATACCACAAAAAAAAAGGCCTTATTCTACATATACTTACATTTTTGACAGAAATCCTGATTCCACGCTGTGCTGAAGCATATGATTAATTTAAAATATCTGCTTAATTAAAGTTCAGAAAGGAGCATTGTTATATCTGACATGACTACTAAATTTGAAAAGGACTTGTAGTAGTGCCTAAAATTAATCCCAGGCTTAAATCCTTTGTTGAATTGAAGACAAAGTAAAGGAAAATGACATGTTAATCTACATGTCACATGTCCAGTGCGCAGAGGCTTCCTTTTGCAGTTGACTTGACTTTGGAAAATTGCTTGAAGTATCAAGGTAGTTATTTCTGGGATAAAAGATATAGACATTATCTTTTCTAGTAATAGTAGCTTCTCAGTCGCCTAAGCTCACTCCCTGAAAGAACAAAAGGTTTTAATGCAGCACAAATGTGAGAGGAGAAGATCCAAAGGACCACATGGATCCTGCCCCACACATTCCTTTAAAATAAACAATTTCAAGTAATATAAAATTGGGGCCATAAACTGGCAATGCCTCTCTTCTGCTTTATTCTCAGCATAAAACAATGCCAATTTTAACTTGGACTCGGACTGAATGTAGAAGCTTTGCCAAAATAGCTGTCAGAATGATGAAAAATCCCTTCTCTAGAGCCACAGCCATACTGGCAAAACCCCTCACGTAGGTGCTGTTGTTTTTCCACTAGCCAGAATAGCACAATCCATTTGGGAAGTGGATTTAAGTTATACCAGAAAGGAATTCTTTTGCTAGCGTAAGATGTGTCTCCATGAATGTGTGTTTGCCAATAGAGCTCCAAGGTGTAGCTCTACCAGCCAACCCTTTTAAGTGTACGCAAGGCACGGGTTTCTGGCTCAAGCCTCATTCCTTTAAAGTTAGATTTATGTTTTTGGTTACAATTGCGAACAAAAACCAAGGGGAATTTCACTCATGCTGACAGTTAACAGATGTATCCAAGCCTTTTATTTTGAATCTGCTCATTTATGTCTGGCCAAAAAGCAATATATTATTTGGTGATGCTTAGTGCTATTGTCCTGCTCTTGCTGCAACAGAAGGGGAGAGGAAAGTATATTTTTCAGTATGTTAAGTACAACCTTTATGGTCAATTATTTCAGAAGACGTAATGCCTACTGAAATTAATGTGAATGAGTTAAAAATGAGAAATCTCTTATTATGAGTATGGCTGCCTGATATAAATTTAATTTATAGATCAAAGGTGCTCTGCAAGATTTCTGCCTGCCTCAATAGAACCAGCTGTTAGAGCCACTGCTGCTTCCTACCAGGTTGTAGGTAACATCCGCTGGATTCCTGCAAAACTCATTCCCAAGAGTCACCCCATGATATTCAGAGTGGTTTATGAGGCTGTTGCTGCCTGACCTCCTCCCACGTGTCCAGGTTTGGTCCAGATAGTCCCTTGCCCTTCATGGGACCAACTGCTGTTAGTCTGGCAGCACTTTACAGTTCTAGATGTCTACTGGATTAGCACATTTTAAAAAGTCAACACTATACAGCGGTGTCTGCTAGCAGAATGCAGAACTAATATCTTTATATCCTCAGTTTCCCTTCCAAAAGTCAAACACAGCGTGTGTGAAAGTTTAAGTAGTAGAGAAGGGGAATTTTAACAAAGGCTGAGGGATGAAGAAGTGCACTTACCCTGTCGATTCATCTCACTGCTCAAGAAACTGATAAATTTTAACAGAAAACATGTTCTGTCACATTCAGTGATGGAAAGCACTGACTTTATCTGGTACACATTAAAAATGCACAGTATTAAAATGCATTCACTAAGGGATGTGGAAGGAGTGCTCTGCTGTAACACTGGAGCTAGGCAAGGTTGAAACATTGTGAGCAGAAAAATGGTTCTCAAAGGAGTTTTGTCAGGTCCTCCTTACCTACTTAGGATGGAAGCACTCACTTTAGGAAAGTCTGTTTTAGGAGAAGTAACTTTTTTTCTGTTTAACACTTGCAATCAATCTCCACATGAGCTAGTCTTGTGATGCTATGTTAAGGATGCCCATATTAAAGGACCATGTTGGTGCTTTTGACTGGTTAGAGGGCCAGAAGGAACTGTAGCAACAATGCACAATATCCTGTCTTGAGTTATACCTAACTTTATACCTAATGTGTTCAGTTATACTCCAGGCTTGATTTATACCCTGATGAAAAATCCACAGCAATGTTAGAGAAATTTTTCAGATCGATAATTCTGCTTCTTGTTACTCTTTTTTTTTTTTTTTGCCTTTTTTTCTTCTCTTCTCTTCTCTTTTCCTTTCTTTTTCTTTTCTTTTCTTTTCTTTTCTTTTCTTTTCTTTTCTTTTCTTTTCTTTTCTTTTCTTTTCTTTTCTTTTCTTTTCTTTTCTTTTCTTTTCNTTTTCTTTTCTTTTCTTTTCTTTTCTTTTCTTTTCTTTTCTTTTCTTTTCTTTTCTTTTCTTTTCTTTTCTTTTCTTTTCTTTTCTTTTCTTTTCCTGGGGACTACAGTAACATAAATCTGGTTTGGGCAGACAACATCTTCCCAACTAGGCAGATTACACAACCTGAAGAGACACAATATTTAATCATAAACTGCCAAGCTGGTATAATCTTGGAAAGTTGTGAGAAAAAACAGTGCTATGCACAAACTGCAGTTTACTGATGGATTTTTTTTACAGAGTCAGAGCCAGCAGAGCCAGCTCCTACCCTGGAGAAAGAAGATACTGATGCTTTGGTTATGCTGGTGGGAGCATATCGTGGCTCCGCTGTGGCTGCAATGTGCCTTTTACAAAATACTCTTCAGTGTGCGCAGTAAGTACAGCTTCAGGCTGGGTGCTGCTTTTTCCTCTCCGGACCCAAACTATGTAACTAATACTTATTTTATCTCATCGTTTATTGGAACTGTGGATGATGAGGAAAAACAGGAGGAGGCAGAAATACCTAACATATTTATCCAGGTCTTCTTTTATCACATAACTAATGTTTAGAAAGTACTACAATGCTGGCTTTGATGCTTCTACAAGGACTTTTTCTCTCGTTTTTAATGCAGCTGGATAAATAGCTGCTGTTTCTATGTATGAAGTAGTAGAAAAAAATCAGCTGTTCTTCATTGAAGATTCTGCACTTCGGGGATGATGTTGTGATAAATGAACACAGTCTGCTATCCTGGCACAACACAAAACTCTGTTTCATGTTATCAGTATAATGTTTAACTGTAGAGTGTTGTGTCATTTGAAAGTGGAATTTGTTTACCGTTCTGCCATTATTAAAAAAGATATTTCTTTTATCAAGAGTGTGGTCTAAAAATAGTAATTTGCAGTTTGATGGCAAACACCTCTTTGTATTGGTGTTGCGGACAGGGTTTTCAACATGAAAGGAACGTAATAGGCCCATTTTACACTGCCAAAGCCCTGTTATCACTTTACAATTCCTTTATACTTCTAAAGGAGCATGAAGGAGCTTTAGCGTAAATAACAGCCTTGGCCTTTCTTTCATCCGTGGTCCGTCAGTGACACGGAGCTGCAATGCCAGCCCAGTGGGTCGATAGCACATTAACTCGGGTTGAATTTCACAAGCACCATCCTGCTGATAGAAGAGCCCAGTTTCTAAATAGTGTATGCTGAAATAATAGAGGGCTAAACGCATAACAACATGGATTAGGGAAATATTTTTAAAATATTTGTTTCGGGAATACTAGGTATAGCATATGTAGTCGTTCCTTGCTAATATTTTGGTATTTTATTTTTTATAACTTGCCTGTGCACATTTCTTCTCAAATATTATAATGATATGCTTAGGCTAATATTTGTATGTCATTTATCCGCACATGTAATTTATTTATACTCAAAATGTAAACATGAAATTTGGGA